GTTCAACTGATGCTACTGTCTCAGCCTCCCAAAGTGCTGGGATTACAGGTGTGAGCCCCCAAGGCTGGCCTCAGGACTTTATTCTTGCTCTGTGTGAGTGTAGAGGGATGCTGTAATGTAGGAGGAAGAGCTGAGCTGGTCAGGAGGCCTGGATTTCAGTCCCACCTGTTTCATTTACTGCTTCTGGATTTTGTCCTATGACTGTATTTTCTCCTCTGTAAGGTAGGAAAAATAATATCTGACCCTTCAAGTTGTATAACTAAAGAGCACTTTTTTTTTGAGATGGAGTTTTGCTCTTGTTGCCCAGGGTGGAGTGCAATGGCTCAATCTCGGCTCACCACAATCTCCGCCTCCCAGGTTCAAGTGATTCTACTGCCACAGCCTGCCCAGTAGCTGGGATTACAGGCATGTGCCACCATGTCCAGCTAATTTTTTGTATTTTTAGTAGAGATGAGTGTTTCTCCATGTTGGTCAGGCTGGTCTTGAACTCCTGACTTCAGGTGATCTGCCCGCCTCAGCCTCCCAAAGTGCTGGGATTACAGGTTTGGGCCACCACGCCTGGCCTTGAAAAGCACATTTTGAAAAGTATAAAATATCACTATAGAAGTATAAGGTATTACAATTGCGGGCAATGAAAATTTACATTACAACATTGAAAAATATGCTTTTTTTTTCCTTTCTGGTGCACTTTTCTAGGTGAATGTGCCCCTTAGGAGCACTTGTCCAGAAGTATCTGGAAAAAGCTTGGGCTGCATGGTGATGGTGCTCCCTGAAAGACTCGGAGCAGCGTAGCCAGTACCTCCAGAGTACGAAGCATGAAGTACATTTATTCTACAAGAATAATGAGTAAATATTTAAAAAGTCAAGGATTCCATTTTTAATAAACAAAATCAACAAAAAAATAATATTCAGAGTAATACGTTGGACTTCGCAGCCTTCTAAAAAAGACTTTTAAATGTTGATTTGAGTTGTTCAGACATTTTAAATGTGAAGTCACAGAGCAAAAATACGATCAATGACTAAAATTAGGAACAAAATATCCTGAACATACAGGCATTTGAATCTTTGAATTTTCATTTTTTTTTCTTTAGATAGGAAGTCTCGCTCTGTTGCCTGCGATGAAGTGCAGTGGTGTAATCTTGGCTCACTGCAATCTCTGCTTCTCAGGTTCAAGTGATTCTCCTGCCTCAGCCTCCCGGGTAGCTGGGATTACAAGCATGCATCACCATGCCCAGCTAATTTTCTGTGTATTTTTAGTAGAGATGGGATTTCACTGTATTGGCCAGGCCTGTCTCAAATTCCTGGCCTCAAGTGATCTGCCTGCCTCAGCTTCCCAAAGTGCTGGGATTACAGGCATGAGCCACTGCACCCAGCCCCGAATCTTTGAATTTGAATTGAAAATGAGAAAATGGGAAGGTGCTGTTATTCCACATGGTTGCTTGAACTCCACGGAGAAGATATCAATCACTGGTAGCCTTTGAGTGGTCAGCAGTCTCTTTCAGAGTGTTGTGATGATGGATGACGGTAAGGCTTATCCATTTTTTATTTTCATTTTGAGACAAAGTTTCGCTCTTTTCGCAGAGGCTGGAGTGCAACGGTGGGATCTCTGCTCACTGCAACCTCTGCCTCCTGGGTTCAAGCGATTCTCCTGCCTCAGCCTCCCAAGTAGCTGGGATTAGAGGCACCTGCCACCACATTCAGCTACTTTTGTATTTTTAGTAGAGATGTTTGCCATGTTGGCCAGGCTGGTCTCAAACTCCTGACCTCAGGTAATCTAACCACCTCAGCCTCCCAAAGGGCTGAGATTACAGGCATGAGCCACTGTGCCTGGCCAGCTTATCAAAATTTTAAGGAGTACTGAAAATCATTTAGAAGTTAGTAAGTTATAGTCTTTATACCAAAAAAGTGTCAAGTGTTCCTGCTGTATAGCTATACTTAGAAGACAGTTGGGATTTTAAAGATTTTCCTTTATTTCATGTAGAGAAGGAATATGACACAATATTCTACTTATCATCTTGCTTCAACTTAATTACATACGTGCTCACAAGGGCAAAATATTTACTTTAAGTATATCATAGCCATGAATTGGTACTTGGCATACACAAAAAAAGGCCCTTCTGTTGATATAATCTTCCTGTGATTCAGTACAGTAGTGTTCTCCTCTTAAAATGTGTACATATTTAAAAAAAAATCATCACTCAAGGAAAATCCTAGTGTTGCAAATTTGTTTTTAAGAATGCATCTTTTGGCTGGGTGCAGTGGCTCACACCTGTAATCTCAGCACTTTGGGAGGCTGAGGTGGGTGCCATCACTTGAGCTCAGGAGTTTGAGACCAGCCTGGCCAACATGGTGAAACCCCGTCTTTACTAAAAATACAAAAATTAGCCAGGCATGGTGGTGTGTGCCTGTAATCCCAGCTACTTGGGATGCTGAGGCAAAAGGATTGTTTGAACCCGGGAGGCAGAGGTTGCAGTGAGCCGAGATTGCAACACTGCATCCTAGCCTGGGTGACAGAGTGAGAGAAAGGAAAGGAAAGAAAAGAAAAGAAAGAAAAGAAAAGAAGAGAAAGGGAAAGAAAGAAAAGAAAGAAAGAAAGAAGGAAGGAAGGAAGGAAGGAAGGAAGGAAAGAAAGAGAAAGAGAATCTTTCTCCATTGATCAAAGGGATGATTAAAAAAATAAATCTTTTTTTTTTTTTTTGAGATGGAGTTTCGCTCTTGTTACCCAGGTTGGTGTGCAATGGTGCGATCTCGGCTCACCGTAACCTCCACCTCCTGGGTTCAAGCAATTCTCCCGCCTCAGCCTCCTGAGTAGCTGGGATTACAGGCACGCGCCACCATGCCCAGCTACTTTTTTGCATTTTTAGTAGAGACGGGGTTTCATGATATTGACCAGGATGGTCTCGATCTCTTGACCTCGTGATCCACCCGCCTCGACCTCCCAAAATGCTGGGATTACAGGCTTAAGCCACCGCGCCCGGCCTAAAAATAATCTTTTAAAAGATAAAGTTTGGATTTCCTTTTCTTTACTTCACTCACTTGCTCCTTCCCTGTGTTGTCTTCAAGATTTATTTACTGCCCTATTCTGGGGTTAGCAGGTAAATGGCTCATAGATTCCTCAGTTTATTAACCCATTTATCTTGTTTACTGGCGGGTAAGGCAAAGATAAAAACGTTTTTGGCTGTAGTTGTCCACGTGCAATGGACAGCAGTATCCCATTAAGCCAGTAGGTGGTAGTGTTGTCCATAAAAGTAGACCTTCATTTTTATTTTTCCTGGCTTGTTCAAAACATTTTAAGCCAGTTTGTATTTTCAAAATCCACACAGGATAAACTTTTAAAACAGCAAAATTTGAGAACCTTTGTTTTAATCAAGAGGACAGAGGTATATTTATATGTATATAGTGTCACACATAAGGAATTATATGTTTGCCTCTCCAGGCTTTGGCACACATAGATATTGCATTTTTACAAATGAGATTATGAACCAATAATAAAGTGATGCTACTTTAAAGGGTTGTTTTGTATTTCTTGTAATGAAATTATAATAAGTTGCCTGGGGAGCTTTCTTCTCCTCTTTCAATTTCTTTCTTTTCTTTTCTTTCTTTTTTTTTTGAAACAGACTCTCGCTCTCTTGGCCAGGCTGGAGTGCAGTGGTGCCATCTTGGCTCACTGCAACCTCCATCTCCGGGGTTCAAGCGATTCTCCTGCCTCAGCCTCCCGGGTATCTGGGATTACAAGTGTTCGTCACCACACTCAGCTAATTTTCTTTGTATTTTTAATAGATACAGGGTTTTGCCATGTTGGCCAGGCTGTCTCGAACTCCTGACCTCAAGTGATCCGCCCACCTCAGCCTTCCAAAGTGCTGGGATAACAGGTGTGAACCACCGCACACCACCCTCTTTCAATTTCTTTTCTTTTTTTTTTGAGATGGAGTCTTGCTCTGTCGCCAGGCTGGAGCGCAGCGTTGTGACCTCGGCTCACTGCAACCTCCACCTGGTTCAAGCGATTCCTGTGCCTCAGCCTCCCAGGTAGCTGGGACTACAGGTGCGTGCCACTACACCTTGCTAATTTTTGTATTTTTTTTTTTTTTTTTTTTTTTAGTAGAGACAGGGTTACACCATGTTGGCCAGGATGGTCTCGATCTCCTGACCTCATGATCTGCCCGCCTCAGCCTCCCAAAGTGCTGGGATTACAGGTGTGAGCCACCGTGCCCAGCCCTCTTCCAATTTATCTTCCTTTTTGTCCGGCTGCTTTTCATTCTCCTCTCCATTCTAGTTGTATATAAGATGGTATCTTATTTTAATAAACTTATAATTTTAATAGAGTGTTGTAGTCTCTACTGCAAGATGCAATTGTTGAGAGTGTGATTTCTAACATTTTACAGAAAACAGCCGTAAAAAGTTTACTGGAACTTAATATACATTGCCTACTTGGTTGATACCTTCAACACTCTGTAGGGCTTTCACACAGAATCAGCCTCAGTGGAATTTTATCGATTAAATTCATTAACCAATGAGTGGTTAAGAACTGTTTTATTGCATACTTAATGGGCTGAGGGGCTGAATTATTTATTTTTACTTTATTATTATTTTTTGAGACGGAGTCTCGCTCTGTCACCCAGGCTGGAGTGCACAATCTCGGCTCACCACAACCTCTACCTGGGTTCAAGCGATTCTCCTGCCTCAGCCTCTCAAGTAGCTAGAATTACAGGCGCCTGCCACTATGCCTGGCTAATTTTTTTGTATTTTTAGTAGAGACCGGGTTAGCCAGGATGGTCTTGATCTCCTGATCCGCCCGCCTCAGCCTCCCAAAGTGCTGGGATTGGCTAATTGCCCTCAGTTCAATTTTACCACTGTGATATTCATTCCACATGTTGTGATAAGTGTGGTACCGGAGCACCTGCAAATTATGTACTAGATGCTTATATTCCAGGCCTTGATTTAGCTTTTGGGAGAAGTCAGTGAACAAAACTCGTAAAGATCCCAGTCTTCACGGGGCTTACCCTGAAGTTGGGAGTGGAGAGGGAGGTATTCAACCAACAAGAAATCGGAAAACGCACAGAGCAGGCACGGGGTCAGGGTAAACTGCGGGAGGCTTTCAGGGCTTAGGGCTCAGCAGGGAAGCTTCACTGGGCCAGCGTTTTCTTAGTCATCTGCTCCAGGGGTGTTCAAGCTCTCAACCAGATCTTCGTTCATCCAGCGCCTAGGGAACTTCAATGCGGTGACTTCTCCCGCTGTGCAGGGCAATGACCCGGATTGGCGCGCTCAAGATCCCGCCAGAGTCTGCCGGAGGCATCCCTGATAAATGCGACCCCCCTACTGCCCCTTCGCCCCCGACCGCGCTCCCAATCGCCCTCCCGCCCCTGGCCCCGCGTGTCCACCACGCCCTACCACCCTGCACGCCCTTCCTGGCCGCGCGGCCCCTATGGACAGAGCGTCGCCGCCCTCACCCCCGCGCCCCCAGCTGTGCGTCCCTTGCGACCGCCCTCACCGACCGCGCATCACCACCTGCGACTCTGCGAGCCCTACGGGTTGCGGTCTGCTCCAGATCTTGCAGCCTTCCCGCCTCGAGGCCCTCTCGCCAGTGCGTCTCCTGCAGAGCGCGCAACCCCCGGCCCGTGCGGCCCCCTGAGGGGCGGGCGCTGGGCGGCGCGAGGCGGGGCGGGGCGGGACGCCGGACGCCATCGCGTCGCTACCAGCCGGCTGCGGTCTGCCCGGGTCTGTAGCCGTGTCCTCGCCGCCCGGTGCTCGCCCACGCCTCCCGGGCCCTCGCCTTGTCCCAGCGGCGGCGCGCGCGCGGCCGCGTTGGGTGGCGGCGGTTCGGGGGATGAGGAGGCGGTGGCGCGCGGAGACGATGCTCCGGAGCTGAGAAGACGCCGGCACACGGCGCTACTGCCGAGCGCAGCGCCCAGCCGCGCGATGGCTCAGGCCGCCGGCCGGGCTAGCGGCGGAGAGCCGCGGGCTGAGGCGGTGGGCGGCGAGGGGCCGTGGGAGCCCGGGGCAGCCGGCGGCGATGCCGGGGGCTCGCAGGACGCACTGAGCCTGGAGGAGATCCTGCGACTCTATAACCAGCCCATCAACGAGGAGCAGGCGTGGGCCGTGTGCTACCAGTGCTGCGGCTCCCTGCGCGCCGCCGCCCGCCGCCGCCAGCCCGGCCGTCGCGTGCGCTCGGCTGCGCAGATCCGCGTCTGGAGAGACGGCGCCGTCACCCTGGCGCCCGCGGCCGACGACGCGGGAGAGCCGCCCCCTGTTGCGGGTGAGGCCGCCGGGCCCCTTTCCCTCGCAGTCTCTAGGAACACCCCCGGTCAGGCCGCTTTACCCTCACAGTCCCTGTCCCTTCCGCCCCTGCCACCCCCAGTTTGCCATGGGAGACCCCCGGCAGGCTCCGGCCGGGCCCCTGGGGGAGGGCGGCGTCAGGCAGTAGCCAGGCTGGGGCTCTTCCTAGATCAAAGCTTCGAGGCGGGCGGCGGCTCAAATAGGCTGTGCGGAGGGCGTCGGGGCTGGCCTGGTGGGCCTGGGCCTGGGCCTGCGGGTCGGGGGGGCCCCTAGTCATTGTGCAGCCCGCACAACAGCTGCCCCGCGGCGCGTTTGGGAGCGGTGGGCTGGGCCCTGCTTGGAGCCAGCTGCCTGTGCGCCTCACGCCGTGGCTGCTGACGCACGGCCGGGTTCGCGGGGTGGGGAGGGCACCACAGGCTTCACGCAGGGGCTCCACGAGGATCCTCATAGCCGCTGTCGGGAACACCGCAGTCCTCCCGGGAAGTTAGCAGTATTTCACATTAGACAACCTTTTCTCCGTTCAGAAATGTAAAGATGATTTTGAACCTTGAGGAGAATTTTGTATTTGGGGAGAAATGGAAAAATAGACTAAATAATTATTTTTGGCTCCTGGACATTAGAAAATACCGATTACATTCCTGTATGTGAAAATTCGTTGTGATGAAAAACAGGCTTATGAAGTAAAAAGTTGACAGGATGTCTGGATATATAGAGAAAATGGGCTTTAGTTACGTCATTGTCCAGTGTAAATTTTTCAGGATTATGAACTAAACAGTAATTTATAGCGGAGGTTTACTCAGATGCTATTGATGAAGAGGAGGCGGAGGTTGAGAAAAGGTTTCTCCCATCAATTTTTATCTAATTCATTCTTTTGAGAGGCAAGTCTATTAAAAACAGAAAAACAATCCACCCTCACTTTTAGAAAGTTGATGGAAGTGTCAAAATGCTTGAGATGAAAGATGTAGTATCGAATTAGTAAAATGACATTTAATGAAAACCCTCGTCTAACTTGATTTGAACAATATTCAAGATTATAGTTACTCTTTCAGTTCCGCCGGAATGTTTTTATCTTTTTTAGTGTCAGGTAAACAATTTGTTTATTTAAAGACATCTTTCGTGATTCTTTTGAAACTATTTCAAATAGTTTTTTTGTTGGGCTTATTGCTTTTAAACTTGGACTTAATCTAAGTGGGAAATACTTGCAATTATAATTTATAGTGTATTAATTGGTATAAAAACATACTTTTTTTTTTTTTTGAGATGGAGGTTTGCTCTTGTTACCCAGGCTGGAGTGCAATGGCGCGATTATGGCTCACTGCAACCTCCGCCTCCTGGGTTCAAGCAATTCTCCTGCCTCAGCCTCCCGAGTAGCTGGGACTAAAGGCGCACGCCACCATGCACAGCTAATTTTTGTATTTTTAGTAGAGATGGAGTTTCACCATGTTGACCAGGATGGTCTCTATCTCTTGACCTCGTGATCCACCCGCCTCGGCCTCCCAAAGTGCTGGGATTATAGGCGTGAGCCACTGCGCCGGGCCTTAAAAACATACATTTATAAAATACAGCATTGTTGGCCAGGCGCAGTGGCTCATGTCCCAGCACTTTGGGGAGCTAAGGTGGCTGGCTAACCTAAGGTCAGGAGTTTGAGAACAGCTTGGCCAACGTGGTGAAATCCCCGTCTCTACTAAAAATACAAAAATTAGCTGGGCATGGTGGTGTGCCCCTGTATTCCCAGCTACTCGGGAAGCTGAGGTGGGAGAATTGCTTGACCTTGGGAGGCAGAGGCTGCAGTGAGCTGAGATCATGCTACTGCACTCCAGCATGGGCAACAGAGCAAGACCCCGTCTCAAAAAACAAGAAAAAACAGCAATGTCATGCCTTGGGATTTAGCTATTTCCAGAGAAAAAATGGTTGCGTCCAACCTGCTTTTAGAAGCCACATTGGTAGTGGTGATTTCTGGAGAGAACAACCCCCCAGTTTACATCGGCTGTCACTTAATCTCAAAGTAGTGTACTTTTGTTGTCAAAGATGGATAGATTCTGGTGGGTGGGTTTTTTTTTTTTTTTTTTTTTTTTGGTCTGAAGCTTATGTTGAAATGAATTATTTTTTACGTCACTAGTGTGAGTGATAACATGTTGACCTCAGTGTAATAAACTGTCTTTACGGAGTGAATAGTGAGTAGAGTTGTTCTCCACAATTTCTAATAGATTTTTAATTCTCTTTCTCAGTTCTGCTCATGACCTGTGCTACCAGTTATGGAGAAGGCCTAATCAAAGTTGTTGATACAGACTTGACTATTTTCTAATACTAAAATTATTTAGGAAGTTCATACTAAAATATTAATTTATTTCCTCATGAGACTTAAGAATAGTTGCATGGCTCAGGAAGATACAAAGTCTTCTGAACATTTTATCTTGATTTTTAAACTTGAATAATTTGGTGTTGTGCACACTTAAACATTCTATTCCTTTTTTCTTTTCTCTCTCTCTCTTTTGATGAATAATTTGGTGTTGTGCACACTTAAAAATGTATTCCTTTTTTGTTTTCTCTTTCTTTGTTGGCCAGGATGGTCTCAATCTCTTGACCTTCTGATCCTGCCTCAGCCTCCCAAAGTGCTGAGAATACAGACATGAGCCACTACAGCCTCTCTTTTCTGTTTTTAAGGAGTATTTGTATTCATAAGACTTCCATTGTAGGGAAGAGTCGGGGAAAATAAGTAAAAATACATTTTTTAAAAACACTTTCTTTTTCTTGTATTTATTATGATTATATGTAGTTAGCAATCTGCAACATTTATGTTTTCACATATTATTTTTGGTTTATTTATATTTATTTATTTTGAGATGGAGTTTCGCTCTTTTTGCCCAGGCTGGAGTGCAACGGCACCATCTCGGCTCACTGCAACTTCTGCCTCCCAGGTTCAAGCTATTCTCCTGCCTCAGCCTCCCAGTAGCTGGGATTACAGGCATGCACCACTATGCCCAGCTAATTTTATATTTTTTGGTAGAGATGGGGTTTCTCCATGTTGATCAGGCTGGTCTTGAACTCCTGACCTCAGGTGAACTGCCTCCCTATGCCTCCCAAAGTGCTGGGATTACAGGCGTGAGGTGCCGCCCATCCTGATTTATTTTCTCAATGGAGGTTCACAGAAGTTAAATGATTAGTAATTCTTTGAATTGAATCTCCGTCTTTTAGTCTCTAGGCTTTGTAGTATTGTGGAATGAGACATTTGGTTGAATTTGTATTGTGATTCCTCCCCTTCCTAGATGAACGACATTGAGTAAGTTCCCCCATCCCCCTGAGTATAGCCTTCTGTGTAAAAGCAGAATATATTGTTTTCACAGGGTAGGGATATAAGTGAGGATAATAGATGTCAAATGACCAGATTTGCTGTATAGCAGGTGCTCAGTAGGTTTTAGTTTCCTTCTTCCCCTAATCCTGTGGTCCTTCTCATCACCATACTGTCTCTAGTCTCCAGCTGTTTTATGTTTTTACCAAGAATTGGGGTAAATGTCAGGATCAGAGTTTCTTAATTTCGGCACGGTTGGCATTTTTGGCTGAATAATTCTTTGTTGTGATGGCTGTCCTGTGCAGCGTCTGTGATCTAATCTCTAACACTGGATGCCAGGAAGCCCCTCCCCTGCAACTGTGACATTTAAAGTCTCTATTCATTGCCAAATGTTCCCTAGGGTGCAAAATCATCCCAGTTGAGAACCACTGGTTTAGCAAATGATGGTGGTGCCCAGGATTGTGTTCAAGATGGAGAATTGGATCCTGGCTGTAATGCTCAAGTGAGTGAATCCTTCTACAGGCCATTGTCAACTCTGTTGTTGAGCTGAATGAGTTGTGTTGGTTCTTGCCAGTAGCAGCAGTATCACTCCATTTAGTCCTTGGGAAGAAATAGCACTCCATAGGCTTTACTGACTTTCTGGGGGGCTGAATGTAGTAACTGATTTTAATTCTTGTTTACTTTTAACAGTATTGATACATGTGAGAATGGTTAGATTCAGTTTGAATGAAATAAGTAGAAATGTACCAAAGAAAAATAGAAAAATGATGAAAGGTGTTGGAGGCACGGAAATGAGACCGATGAAGAATTAGTAAGTTTATTTAGCATTCAGATAAAACTTAGAGCCATATTGCTAGCCTGCCCATAAAAGCAGTGTGACATAGGACCGAAGGAGATAAATTCAAGAAAAAGGAAAGACTAGCTCTTTAGAGGATCTCTTGAAAGTAAAAATGATTTATTATGAATAACATCTTAAAATGAACAGTATGTTTAAGAAGTGTTTCTGTGATGACAGGAGGATAGATTGCCTAGAATCAAGAGAGTTTATGATTCTTATTAGGTGGCTTATTTAACATTTTATTTT